TAAGTAAGGTAGGCCTGTTAGCCTATAGGTGCCTCATGACTGGTGACGGCGGTGAATCGTGAGTGGCCAGGCTCTGAGGAAGGTGTGGGCATCACTGGAAGCTTCGCCGGGGGACCAAGTGTGCGAAGTCTGGGCAGAGGAGGGAGGCCACGCAATGGCTTTGGGGCCAAGTGACTGCCCAGCCTCCAAGACGTCGCTTTTGTCTGGCGACGGTTTGCTTGGCTTTCTTCATCACGCCGTCGGGCGAAATATAACTTGGATCCCTCTTTCCCCCCCCTCTTCCTCGTACCCCCGTCTGATTCTTTTCTCAAGAGTCTTTTCCATCAATCAACCCTGTACTTAATCAAAAACCTAAACGTCTTGACTCTCTCTTCTGGCGCTTCGCTGCTGCCTTCCTACACTGCGGATCCGGATACATAACAGAAACCATCCAAATTCTTATTTGATTAATTCAACCTTGGATTGTCTCGCATTGCACTCTAAATAGGCCGCAATCCTCCCACCCAAACCTACCTACGCTACCTATTCTCTACGGGTACAACTCACCTTAATTTTTGTGCATTGCACTGCACTGCACCACCGAGAGCTCTAGACCGGATCTCGCCCATTCTGACAGGACGTCAAAAGCCATCACGTCATTGAACATCACTCGCCATCTTCCCTCCCCGCCAACGAAAAGCATAGCGAACGCCACGCAGAAGTGAGCTCTTGGGTTCTTCTGAAGCACGGACAAGAAATACAATAGTCGGACGAAGCTTCTCCCCGGACAGCTCCTCCTGCCGTTTACATCTCGTCTTTTCTTTATTCGTCGCACCAGAACCCTGTCCGCCAACGATAGCATAAGAAGTTCGGTATATCACTGAGAGGCCAACCTTTTCCATACCTTCAACATCGAGGGTCACGAACAAGAAACTTCCCGTTCAGCGACAACATCACAGTCATCAAGATGGCGGACGCTGTAGGCAATGTTCACATTCTGCCCTTTCCCATCGACTCACTCGACAAGAGGTAAGCCTTCTCCTTCCTTCCTCCCCTTATTGCATGCCATCCGAAATGGATCTGCGAGACCCTGCATACATCATACCCCCCGGCGATGCCCTCCGGACGCTAACGTCAATCTCGCAGACAATTCTACTGCAGCTCCGGTCAAGTCTACAGAAACGGAGCATGCTATGAACGCGGCGCATGGTACTGGTGGGGCCGCTGGGTCCTCGCCGCCGTCGTCGTCGGCATCGCACTTCTGATCCTCATCTTGTTAGGGTACTCCCCCAGTGCTATTTCCTGTCTTTCGGCACGATCCTCCATTGCATTCGTTCATCATGGCTAACCGATGTTTTTGTGATGTAGCTGCATGAACTCCCGCCGTCGCAGAAAGCGTGGTGTCCAGCCCTTCTACGGCACCGGATGGATGAGCAACAACAACAAGCACAACCAGCAGGGCACCTACGCCTACAACCAGCCGTACAACGGCCAGCAGCAAGGATACGCGGGCTACCCCCAGCAGGGCGGCGCCTACCAGAACCCGCCTCCGGCTTACGGGCCCGCTCAGCAGCAACCTCAGTACACTGGCACCACGTTCAACCCAAACGATGGATACTACGGCGGTCACAACGAGGGTATTCACCTGCAGCAGCCGCAAAACGCCTACCAGCGGGATTCTTACGCCCCGCCTGCTGGCCCGCCGCCCGGAAAGTAGATGGATGATGTCGATGAAAGATAATGGGGCTTGGGTTCCGAAGGCGTGGAAGGGTTGATGCGGAGAGACGTGAAACTTCTTTGACTGTCATGAGTACGACGACTTGCGAACACACAGATGATACCTTGATTGCGAAACAACCCGGTTAGGCGTTGGCAGGTTTTCTTTGGAAGGATTTTTACGACGATAGGGGCCAAGAGGGAAGGAAGATGGGGGCCAGCCAATATGTATGATGACGATGATATTCGGGGTTGAGCCTGGCCTGGAGAAAGAATCGAGAAAGCTCTGGACTATAATTCCATAGTAAACTTCAACATTATTGATGCTTTCATGGCCACAATCAAATTTCCGAGACTGGTAACGACCGTGAAAGATTTCTGCCCTTGACGGACCTGTCCCTCAATCTATGTCAACATACCTAGGAATGCGACATCTGCCCTGATCCACGGAGTCATTCAAAGACTGAACGATCAACGCAAGGTCGTTGGACTTGGCTATCGCACAGGTTAGGTTGCTAGCCATAGCTTCTACATCAGACGAGCCCTGCGTTGCGCTGGGCTGCAGCTGTGAATTCAATTACCCTTCTAGACGTCCAGGCGCTCTTCTTCTGGGACGTGCGTGTCGGTGCCACTGCCCGGAGCTTCTACTCTCGACGTCCCAGGATAGAGCGCCTCCTCTGACGAAGATCGACTACTTGGAGCAGCGAGAGTAAGATCTCGGGCTATCGCAAGCGGTCTCTCGAACCACGGTGGCGTCCGTTCCTGATCCTACTCGCTGTCCCATCGCTACTCTTCCACGCTTCCAGGCGTTTCGTGGGGTCCTCTAGCCAGTTAGCTCGACCCTGAGGTTCATTTCAAGGTGGTGAGATTGGGGGCCAAGAATTGTTCTCGAAGCCAGCGACGGCGGTCTTTCTGAGACAAGAAGGAGAACCCGTCTCCGAGATGCCCTGTCCACTGTCGAATCTGCAGTGTCCTGGTAAGGCCCGGTGCTCTGCCGCCGTCTCGGCCGAGTTGATGCAACTCTGCACATCACATGGGTGCTGAATGTGGCGAGTGGTTGTGGCTGAGTAGAACACTGGTGTGGCTGGAAATAACCATTGGCTTTTTACGTATTCCCGTCATAACCGAGCGCGAGGGAAGGCAGCAAGGGGTGCCCACTGTCACGGGGGTTGCGACCCAGACGCTTTGGCCAATGCCAAGTCGTAATGTGCTGTACGTATGCCTGAGGACGACAAGAGCACCATGTTTCATCATGTTGACTCTGCATGCTGCTAACTGGTGGTCCCTCGGCCCCCAGGTTGTCTCGTTTTCAATACGGAAATGCTCCGTACGGTTGGTGCAGTTGGGTGGCGGGCACGGCAGACCAGACACGCTGCAAGTCAATACTCGCTAACTGATACCTTGTGTGCTTACCTTACTTTAGTTAGCATCTTGATTTATCGGCCGGGGGAGAGGGGACTTGAGGGACGGCTCATCGGCGCAATCAAGATTGGGGTCGACGAATCCAAAATCATCTCCGAACCGACCCCTGAACGAACTTCATGAGGGAAAAAGCGGTACTTGCGCGATTACAAGGGGACTTGCCAGACAGCCGTTTTGGAGTTGAGGTGGAAGTGGACACGGGCGTTGGGTGTTGGCGTTGCAGACAGGCAGGCAGACAGAAAAGAGAATGCGAGGCCAAGCAGCAGCAGCAGCGCAGCATGGCAGCATTGCAGTGATTTGACTGAACAAGCCGCAGCAAAAAGCAAAGCAGAAGGGGGGACGGGAAGTCAGGAACCGCTTCCCCCACTCAAGTTCGTCTGAGCAGGGATCTTCAGTCCGCTAGAGTGTGGCATGGCGCTCGATCGCAATTCGAATTTCCCTCTGGAAATCTCCCTGTGCTCAGGTCGCGGCGTCCCGTCGCGCTCGCTCTCTCTTAGGTACCTTACCTCAGCTCAGTCTGTCAAACAGGGAGAATGGAAAGGTGCTGATGTTTCTACCGCTGCTCCTTGGTCCTTTCCACCACTACCAGTGACCACCTGGGCTGCCTGACTGCCACTTTTGATCGTCCCCCTCGTGGCTTTCCCGGCAAAGTAACTCTGTGTGCGTCACGTCAATCATTTCCCGTTCCTCCTTCCTTTTCCCACACCTCGTTGCAAATCCTCCTCTCGTTTTGCTGCTCTTCTGACCTTTTGGTCAAGGGAAACATATCCTCACATCTTCTTCATCTCATCTACGGCGGCCTCTTGTCACTCTTTTTCTTGACAACCTCCCGAGGTGCATATTCCTCCGACAACCCGGCAGACTGCGTCCTGTGCCGTTTCGCTCCTTTTTCGTTCCGTCTCATCTCCTTGGCCATTCCTGAGGCTGTTTGACGGTCCTCCTCGTGTCTCTCATTTTTACCTTTTTTTCGTTCGTTCTCTTCGCGAAGCAGAAGAGTAGAATTCCAGCTCAAAAGCCATTCCTTAAGCAAGCCATACGAATACCGGTACTCCGCCTCTCTCGCCGCCACTCTGGGATTTATTTATCCTCAACACGTCTCACGAAAACGACCACCCCTCAGCTACAGCCTCCCTTCTACCTGGGATAACCGTGTCTCTCGACAGCTTGGACACGAATTGCGACCCACCCCTTTTCTCGATACTCGCACCCAGCAGCGTCACCAAGCAATAAGACCAAGACACCCAATCTGTTGGCCACGGATCGCCTATTTTTCGGGGTCATCCTGTTGGACCTTGCCGTGCTTGCTGACTTGCACCGCCCAGTTTCAGTGCCATTTTGAGACGAAAGCCTCTGGGCTTTTTGCTCGTTTGTCGCTACCATTCGCTACAACGTCCCCTACCACCTGTTCACCAGCCCACCCACGCAAGGGGGCGAACGCTTTGCCCTCCCATAGGCAGTGACGATAGAAGAAGACTTGCATTCATTTACCGGCGGTACAGCGGCACTACTCATTTCAGTTCTCATCCTCTGAGGCTCTCGAGGTTCGACCTTTTTTTGGTTCACGCCTACCACTTACTTTCCTTTGCCATCTTCACTTCAAGTGAGATCGTTTTGCGCGAATCCGGCCGCCCGTTACACCTGCACGACGACGTTCTCTTGTACCACGAAGCGGCGCGCCTTATCCCCCAACGGTCCGCCGATCACCGTTCAAGCCGATTAAACGACGAAACATCGAGCCCATGAGATGATGGAGCTATAGTCCGCTTCTAATTCCGCAGATTAATCCCCCTCGACCAACCAAGCTCGACGTACCCAAATTTTGTTGGTAATTCGCCGAGAATCACGTTCTTTGTCGGAGGAAAAGCAAAACAAAATCATCCAAAATGCCTTCGATCGATGTCGCCATGGCGAGGAGTCTCCGAGGAGGAGTGTGGGGATCAGTGGTGTCGAGCATGGCCGCGGACATTCAGAGTCGCGGAATTACAGACACAGTACAGAGCGCCGGAAACTCGATCAACGATGTGAAGACGGCGTTGTCTAGTTGGGACAATTGCATGTCCGTTAATTTCTGCAAGTAGGTTTCGGTCACGACCTCACTTGAATTCCGACGTACTAACTTGCGCAGGTGGCCCGTCATTGGAATCATGATCTTCGGAGGCCTCATCATTTTCTCTATCGTATGGTGCATCATCCGGTGCGCTTGCTGCGGTCTGTCGTGCTGCTGTCAGTGTTGCTACTGCTTGAAGTGCTGTGGTAACTGCTGCGGTTGCTGCGACACCCCCAAGGGAACACCTCACAAGCACCTCGACGACAATTCGTATGGACCGAACAATCAGGGATATAAATCCCAGGCGCCCATGGCTCCCTTTTACAACAATGCCAGCACCGCGCCTGCACACCAGGCGAATTCAACAGCACCCGTGGCTTCCGGAGCCGCGGCGCCGCCTCAGTATGCTGAATTCGAAGTCAGCAAATCAGGTGCCAATCCGGCAGACGCTGATTCACTTCCCGCGATGCCCAGTTGGGAGGGTGCAGGTTCGAAGAAGGTGGCACTTGAGGAGGAGGTGGAGCTCGAACAGATGAACAAACCGGCTGTATCACCGAACCCGAACGGACAGAACATGCCTCTCATGGCACCCAACGCCATGTCCCATCCGAACAGCCCCATGCCGGGTGACAGGAGCCCTTATGGCCAAAATTCTCAGGCCGGGCCCAGCGGTTACTTCACCAACGCCAATCAGCCTGCGGGTCCCTACGAAATGGCAGGCAACGGCTACAGTGATGGAGCATACGGACAGTCAGCGTCTTCTTTCGGTGTAGACCAAGGATATGGAAATGGGGCCATGGCTGCCGGAGGCATGGCGATGCAGGGTAGAGGTACACCTCACCAAGAGTTCAACAACAATGGCTACGGGCCCCAGAGAGGTCAGACGTACCCCCGTCCTCAGCAAGATTTCGATCAGGGCTTCGGCAACAGCTACGAGCAGGGAGGCTATGGCATGGGCCGTCCTCCCCGGAACGGCCCCAGCCCGGCACCGATACCCCGAAGCTTCACAGCACCACCTCGCGATGGACCCAGTCCCGCCCCGGCTGGATATCGCCGCTCTCCTGGTCCTCAAGCCGGCGGTTACCGCGGCCCTCCACCCCCTCCCAGCGACTACCGGCGATCCCCCGCGCCTCAAAACGACTACGGCTTTGACCAGAAGAATCAGCAAGGCCAGTTCCTCAATGAGAACTACGGTCGTCCCCAGTACGGAGCAAACTCGCGTCAACCGTCTTCAGAGTCGACTCGCCCTCTTGCTCCTCAGCGCAGCTACACTGGCGACCAAAGCATGGCATCTCCGGACCTGCATGATTCTGGCGGTTTTGACTTCAGCTCTGGCTACAGTCGTCCGCAACAATACAACTATAACCGCGGCCCGAGCGGTGGCAACCAACATGTCGAGGACGAAGACGAACAGCGACCCCCGCAAAGCAGCGGCGGCACCTACCCAGGATACAAGGCGTACCAGCCGACAAAGGATGGCTGGAGTGGCGTCTGAGCGAAATGACAACAATAACGACAGAAGGCAAAGAGCATATGCACACCTGCCCAAAAGCACCAACAGCTCCCTGTACTGGGGGCGACTTCTATTTAAAGACTAATGCAGTCAGAAGTTCATTCGAGGCGGCGTTACTTTGAGTTTCTGATAAAGGTGTGCCTTGGATGGTTAATCCTTGCCTCTTACATGCAAAACTACTGGACGTTTGTTTGGAAACACCCAAAAAAGAGATGCGGTTTTTCGGGGGCCTTTTGGAGTTTCGGGCATACAAAGAGCCACTGTTTTTTCAACCCATGACCGAGGAGCAAATCGGAGCTGTATAATGACCACGGTCAAAGATTTTGTTTGATTGGATTCTCAATTGTCAGATTTTTTTTATTCTTCATGTTTACAAGGCGTCGCATTGGCGCGGCATTCTCAGATTCTCCGTTTGGCCCTTTCTTTTGCATCTTCTTCGAGTGGCAATGGCCAACCACATGGCAAGGTTCTTCTTACTTGGCGATGGACGAGCCGCAGGCTGGCGACGTACTTTGATGCCATGTCATCCAGTTTCGGATGATTTAGAGTTTGGGGCTGTGTGTGGAGGATATGACTCTGCGTGGAAGTCGCAGTGTTGAAGATGACAGGGGAGTGGGCGGCTGAGGAGACGAAGCTAGGTGTTAGGTGAATAGCGCTGATCCAGCTGGCTTGAGGTAGTTGTGCTTGGCTAGAAGCCTTTCAATCGGGCTTTTCGCTGATGGCATGGTGGATGAATACCAAAAACTTCCCGTTACAAAGATTGATGAAGTGCCATGTGATGGTCATGGAAGTGAGGTGGTCCATCCACCTGCTTGCCTCAATCTATGTGTACGCTTCATCAACGACAGCCACCAGTACTCATGAGTCCGGTAGGCGACCATGATCCAACGTATTCGATTGATCAAGCCAGCTCGGTTCAAATAGTCATTGAAGCGCTTATTCTGCGCTCAAGCGCTTGTCCACCAACCCACTGCTAAGAGAGTTGACTTTCCTTCGCTCACTAACCCGGGGGTCGGCCCGGCCTGCATACAACCCCCCGGCTCGTCTCCCTCCCCGGTCGTGTCGTTCTATAGCGCGGCCAGAGTGGAAAAGGATTAGCGGGCCCTCTGCAGAAAACGCCGCTTCTGAGTACCTTGTTATCGAAGAAAGTTAATTCTTTCTAAGTCATAAGTACAAGAATATAGTTTTAATAAAATAGTATAGTACTTACCTAGTACTTAAATTAAAATACTTTTTTAAGCTTATTATAAGAGAAAGATAACTATATTACTAATTACTTACTATCGAGGTCTATAAGTAGTACTATAGTTTTAATTACTATAGCTTTAACTATAATAGCTTCGCCTATAATAAGCGAAAAGTCTAGTTATAAGTCCCTTAAAAGCCTCTTATTAAAAACTATAAAAGTCTCCGAGTATATTAAGTTAAAATACTTACTAAGATACTAATAACTAAATTAACCCTATAATAATAACCTTAATAAAAGACCTAAAAAAAAATACTAGAATCCTTACTATCGTTAGGTACGATTTATAAAGCGTAGTAACGCGGCCGTAGAGTATTATTAATATATCCTATATTAAAAAGGGTATTATTAATATTAACGAGACGGATAGGGCTGTGTTAATATAGTACCTCGGCTTCTTCTTATAGCTCGAGGATAATTATTTTAAATAGTATTAAAAGTCTATTAAAAAGCTCTCTCAAGTACTCTAGTATATCTACTACTATTTTTATAATAATAAGATTCCTAGTACCTATATATAAGAATAAGTTACCTATTTTTAAATAGTAATACTAGCTTATTAATAAGCTATTAAAACTGCGATTCTAGTAATCCCTTAACAAGGGAGAGGGTAGAATAGAGGAAAGGATAGGAGAGAAAAGGGTTAAGGTTAAATAGTGCGGAATTCGAGGGTAGGGTAGCGTCTATATATACTGCGGCAATCCTCTAGTAATGCAAAACGATGGAGTTAAACAGTGGAAAACGCCGCTTCACATTCCCAATTTGACAGCTGCAATTTGCAGACGTGCATATGCTGTTGGTTCCTTTCCTTTACTCCAAGGTCTCCAACCGCGTCTGTCCCCCCTGCCTAGTTCGGTGTGCTCGTAAATGTTTGCCCTGGTATGTTTGCCTGGGGGGGTTAAGATGCCTGGGCCCTGGGTCGAGGAGGGGTTCGGTTCGGTTGGCCATTTTTGGGGGGCCAGACGGGCTTTTGAAGGATGCGGGTATGGGGGAAGAGGAGAGAGAGAGAGAGAGAGGAGTTGGTTGGAATTTGTGACACGATTCCTTTCGCTCTTTTTTCCTTCTTTGGTGTATTGAGTCTGGGCGCTGTTCTGTACTTTGATCGAAAGTGTTTCTGGTCCCTTGCTATTTGGAGAAAATAACGACGACGACAACTTAAGGCCCGCCGACGTTGCTTCTAAAGTTCTGCTCTGCCAGTCTTCCTTACCCCCTGCAGATGTCACACTCATCAGAGTCTGATGGAGGAGAGATCGATCAGGCCAAGCATGATCAACTGTTTCTGAGCTTGAAAGCGAAGTTGATGGCGGATTATGGGATTGATCCGGACCGTGATTTTGGTCAGCCTTCGAGGGGGCGGCAGCAGCATTCTCACGATGACGACGACGAAGAAGAGGGATGCGGTCACGCCACTTGCGAACATGGACATTCCGAGGACGTCCCTGTGAGTTTTCTGCCTCTCGTCTGTTGAGAATCTCACTCCCTTCAGCCTTTACCCCCCCGCCTACCCCTGCCTCTTGGCTCATACTTCCTTCTGCCTCTTTCTTCAAGAAATAATGAACTGATTGTGTTTCGGGGTTTCCCCTGCTGAAGGGCTTGTCGTCGTCTGGGCTGAGTCTGAGTGAATCCATACTGGAGTATCGTATGGAGAACGGGAGGACGTATCATCGGTACAAGGACGGCAGTAAGTGGGAGGCCCAAGTGGCCCGGGCTGGGTTATGGATGGTGTTGGTGTTGTTTCTGACCGGCCTTTTCTGCAGAATATACTCTTCCAAACGACCAGGCTGAGCAGGAGAGGTTAGGTGAGTCTTGTTGTTCCCTTCTACCGCCGGCATTTGGTTGGTGCTGCTGCTGCTGCAAGATACAGGCACAGCACTTCGTTTCGGCAGTTTCCTCCGACGTTCGAAGCGAAGTCCTTCGTCTCTCCCCATGTATCCAGGTCCTGACGGGAAGCTCAACTGCCAGATCTCCAGCACAACGTCTTTCTCCTTACGTTTGACAATAGGCTCGGACTCGCGCCGCCGTGCCAGAAGGGCGCCGAAGTCCCTGGCAGGGTCCTCGACGTTGGAACGGGGACGGGGATATGGGCTATTGACTTTGGCGACGAACATCCCGAAGCCGAAGTAAGTTTTTCCTGGTGTTTGACACCCTTTTCAGACAGTTGTGAGGAGTCGTTTGCTGATGAATGGTTGGCAAATAAAAAGGTCCTTGGGATCGATCTTTCGCCTAATCAACCTACTTTGTGAGTTCAGAACTACCTTAATCCTTTATTTATCTCGCTTTATAGGCTTGCTGATAGATTCAATCCAGCCTACCGCCAAACGTCGACTTTGAAGTAGACGACATTGAGGAGGAGTGGGTGTTTGACGAGCCGTTTGACTATATCCACAGCCGTCTCATGACATCCAGCATCGCAGACTGGAAGGAGTACCTGAAGAATTGTTACGAGTTGAGTTCATCCCCCTGAGCTTCCCCGGACTGTGTTGCAAACTTGGACGTTCTTACACTCTCGCAACAGCAACCTCACACCAGGAGGCTACCTCGAGCTCCAAGAAGTCGACGTAGGCCCCTCCTGCGACGACGGCACCCTCGACCCCACGACCTCGGCTCTGGCGCGGTACTGCAACCTCTTACACGAGGCCTCGGTGATGCTGGGCCGGCCGTACCAGGAGATCCCCAAGCTCGCCGGCGTGATGCGCGATCCGGAGATCGGGTTCGTGGACGTCGAGGTCCGCGTGTTCAAGTGGCCTACCAACGGGTGGCCTGCCGCGGACACGGAGGAAGGGAGGAGGTTGAAGGAGGTAGGCGTGTGGAGCGGGGAGAATATCGTTGCCGGGCTCGAAGGGTTCGCGATGGCGCCGTTTACGAGGGCGTTTGGGTGGTCCAAGGAGGATGTTGACGCGTTTTTGGTGGATGTGAAGAGGGAGATGAGGGATGAGAGTATCCATGCTTACGGACTTGTGTGAGTACTTTCCGCACGGGTACTTCGGTGTATTGCACATCGTATGAGAGGGGAGGGGGGTTTGTGATGCATATGCTAACATCTTTCGACTAGGTATTCCATTGTGGGCAGGAAGCCTCTAGGATAACGAAAATGAAGGGCCAACGAGACCAAGATCTCAAGACAAAGGAGAATGGGCCTATAATCACCTATTAGTGAGTGAACAGATAATGTCGAAATGTTTTGCGAGGCATATTTGCACCAAAGAGGTGACCTTCAATGTCTCGAAGCTGCTTGATTGTTTGAGAACGTTTCCTATGAATCAAAGAAACCACACACATAAGGCCTCCTCATGCCGGACCGCATCTCCACAGCGCATCTCTGCTCCTGCATATCGCAGATGTCTTTGCAGTATTCAGTCGTCGGTCATTCTCATAGACTTCCTCACACGACGGCGACTGCTGAAGTGGGCTGTTTCTGTCGGTCCTCAAGCTGAATACTAACCGTCAGCGATTTGATCTGCGCGCGGGCGTTCTAGGTTCCTAACTAACACCTCCGTATCAATTATTGAGCACTCGTCACGGATCCACTGTTCATTTTGTGCTTCTCCCCTCATCGTAAAGCCTCGACCAGAAGCTAAACACGTTCAGAGGCACCGTATGAGTCTTCTCCCCAAGTCAAGATGTAATTTTGATTGGTAAAGTATCATATTGCTTTCAGTTCCACAAACTCTATACTAGCAACCAGGGAAAACCGTACAGCGGATAAAAAACCCTGAAGCCAGCCCAGATTCTGGTGGATCTTTGAGGTCACTACCCTTTTTTTTTCCCCTCAAATCCACGGGTCTCCTTCTGCCTACCCCGGGCAATTCAACCATTCTTATTTGATGAGGCGGCTCTGCCACTTGTCGTTGAAACGGTACCATACGGTAGGTATCGTATGGCCGTCTCCGAGACAATAGACCTTGATCTCCTTGTTGTCAGGTGTGGCAATTGCTTCGATGCCGCCATTGGAATCCAAGGCAAAGTTTTTCTCGTTAAGGTCGCCTTTGCGCCATCCGTTTCCATCAGCAGACAAGCAAAGCTCCATCAAGCGATTCTGCGAAGAACGGTAGTAGAGGCGGATCTGGACTCTCTGTCAGCAACAAATGGCGGCTTCCGCGTGAACTTTACACTCTATCGATTACGATAATCATACCTCTTCCTTGTCATCGCGGAGAAACCTGGCCACAGCCAAGCGGGCATTGTTCTGAGCAGCAAGTGGCGCGACAGGCTGGCCGTTCACATCAGCACCCTGGATGGTGACGGTGTCTGGACCATGGTATGCCTGTTTAGCGTTCTCGTTGGGGTCCTGCGATATGTAGTAGTTGATCCTGCCAGTGGAGCTGTCAATGAAGTATAGGTGCGTGCTATTTGTGAAGGTTACGGCGGCGAGGTTGGCTGGGAAGGCCTTTCAATCCACAACGCGGTTAGAGGAGCTTCGACCTTTGGGAGACATGATGGGAAGACATACAGACATGGCCGTGGATTGAGAGGTTGGTATCGGCGAAGTCTTGATCGAAGTGTAAGTGTGTTCTGATATCCTATCCTTCGAGCTCAGAAGAAAGGGCAAAGCAGCTTCTTATATACCCGTTGCAACCTAGCCACGAAATTGTATCAAGTAAAAAGTTTCCGTCGCCATTCCCTCGCCTCCAATCTTGTCTTGATTCAGCTCGCTACTTGGAGTCACGCCAAGATCTGCGAGAAAGCTGAATACCTGTCAAGAAGGTATCAAGCTCATCGACGTCTCCTCACGAGGTCTCGACTCGACCAGTCTTGGTCTACGAAACGAGTTGTATGCTGATGCATACTAGAGGGAAGTGGCTGGCTGGAAAGAAATATCGAACAATGCGTCACACTCGACACTGAGCACACTCGCGTCGAAGACAGGTCGTCTTTGCTCACCGCAACATCATACAAGAGCCAAAGCTCCGAAGGCTTGCATGAGTGAGATGCCACTCATTTCATCATCAGATGAGTTGTCAAGTACTGATATCGAGTTTCCCGTGGCCATTGGACGCCTACTCAAGCACTCCGGCCCTTGTCTGACCTGATGCTCTATGCACTGCCAGTAGATCGATCACGGTGGATCACCGCAATCGGACCGCCGAGTGGTACACAGAAGTATCTGAGAAAGTGTTCGTCTTCGAGCCAGTCTCCAAGAAAGTTTCATCGTGGAAAGGTAGTCTGGTTCTCCATATTCGGCCATAGCATGTCTTCCTAAGGGCTGAATTCTGGCCACGACTCTTGGGTCCATTTCTCCTAGTTTGCAGCAACAGCAGCTTTTGACAAATGGAATTAATCTCTATTTGGTGCAGCTAGAGCTTCAAACACAGATCTCATTATGGTTCACTCACACCTGCAAGTAAACTGCAATTCTCCTCGATGGCCGAGAAGCGGTGAAGCAGAAAGGCGTTGCCATCTACCTAGTAATAGAAGTCAGTGTAACTTGATCGACGGTGCCAGTTAACATCACCGGGACACTGCTTTCTCGTACTTCACCGGCCTAAATCCCCTTCGGGATCATTCTAAACAGCATTTCATGCACCCATGTATTAAAAGAACTAACTATATTGACATGGTCGTGGCCGGAGCGTCTGCTTCAACTACAATGTGTCGGATTTCTAGATCTGAATGTCTCGTGTCTTAGGCCCTCATCGCGGGGTAGAGCAAGGTCATGATGTATTTTTGATATTACTTGTTGACACTTGCTGAAGTAATTACTCATGGAGAGAGGAGTGCAGGACTCTCAGCCAGCCACATCATAGTCAATAAAACGGCAAATATACGCAGATCGTTCAGGCACACTAGGTATATGGTAAAGCTACGGCTCAGAGTTCACTTCCCTGATTAGCCAATAAAGTATTGACATCGTCGATTTGTAAAATCTGGCGAAGGAGCAAGAGGACTGTTGTATCAGACAATTTGATAACACTCAGACGAGCTACAGATTAGCACATCTGTTTTATCATTTACACTATGCTCTTGACTCGCATGCCCCCCTGTGGGCAAGCTGATGAGCTCCCCCCTTGCAATGGCGTTCTCAATCACTGAAGGCGCGGTGAAGGCACAATCTGCAGTCAAGACACTTCTGTGGGATCTGCAAACATGCACCTGTTGCATCGCCCAGCCACCCACCGATTGGGTGAGCAGACTTCTTAATGTCATTCCCCCCAACGACCGTTTGCAGGGACAGTAAGACGCTGCGGTCCGTCCCCTAAAGGCTTGTGTGGCGTCAGCTGAAGCAAGACAGTTGAGAGAAATAAATCTAGGTATGATGCTCCTATACAGATCGCAGGAGGAAGAAGAGGCGAAGTTCTCAGAAATACCGGATTCCTTAGTCCATGGTAGCTGTGTGATCGGTATTGGCCCCTTCCCCCTCATACTTTTTAGAATCCCAAGGAAACACCAAATGGCTAGCCACATTCGTAGCAATCAGTGATCTGCGTGGATTGTCGGTGTTACTTATATGGCCACTGCGCCTGAAAGGATGTCGAAGTCTCCGTGACGCGGCCGGACGTCACGGAGCCGATTTTGCGGGGCGCTTGCGCCGGCCTACTCCAAAAGAACGAATATTCGGAAACAGTCGAGTAAAGTGCAGCTTAATGAAGAAACGTCGCCTCGCATGCCTCTTGCAATCGAGAGTATTTATTGGTAACATGGTAGCCTCGAGGTAAGGCAGAGCTGTTTGTGGCTGCACATAGGTTGCACAGGTCCATGATAGAGTACATACAGCAAGAATCGTCAGGAATAGCATGGCACGTTTCGGCACGTTGATCGTCACTCTAAAACATAGGTGCAGTGCATGTGACTGCTCACTCAAGATATCTAGGTGATTGAAATGTCTAGCTTCATTGACAATGGGAACAGCTAACTAGGTACTGAGGTATCCTTACAGGCCCGTCATGGCCTCAATCAAAAACAAGCTATACTAGCAGTCCAACAGAAAAAAAAGCCAGTAGAAACCGACAATAAGCCACTCCAAACGACGAAGATGCGGCTCGGGTTCCCAAATCATGCTTTTCCCACCCTCCCAGGCCGCAACAGCATCTGGTATCTCTCCAGCCTCCCAATTTACTCCAAACGCCACTTGGCAGAGTGCCATTTCCAGGACCGACCCCAAAACGTAGTCCAACAGAGAGAAAGAACGGTTACTTTACATGCCAAGCCTCCAAAAGCTATGCATTAATCGAGTGGTCTTCGCCAAAGCAAGCAGCGAACGTCTATGCCTCCACCGCAACAGCCGGGGCGCTGACTGCTGCTGGCTCGGGCTGATTGAGCTCCTCCTCCTCGGCGATCTCGCCGCCTGCTTCGCGTTCAGCCCAGGCTCCCCAGAGGCCACGCTTGGCTCGGACTTTGATAGGTGCGCCGAGTGTCTCGCCCTGCTCAACCTTGATCGCGTCCTTCGTGGCCAAGACGAGACATTCGAAAAACATCTTGGTGGCGTCAGCCTTCGTCGTTCTCCCCTCGGGAAGGAGGTCTTGGAAGACCACGGCAGTCTTCTTGCGCTTGTCGGCGTCGTGCTCGGCGTCGGGGCCAAAGATGTCTCTTAGCACGTGGACAGCGTGCTTGGTACCCATAGAAACCGGACCACTGTCCTGAGGGTGGACGGCAGGAGCTGTTGTCTCGTCAAAGTCGGGCATGGCGCTGCCTTCGCGCGAAACAGGGCGGCCGGTATTGTCGTCGTCTCCTCCAAAAGCAATGCCCTCCTCATCAGCCGGGATCTCAATAATAGTGCCATCGGCCGCTATGCTTTGGTTGCCCAAACCGGCATCTTCGACAGCAAACGCGTCATCCTCTTCGACGTTCAGGCGAGGCGACTTGGATGTGGCGCCGTTGTCACTCTCCACATCAGCGATTCCGCTGTCCCGCTTCCTCTTCAACTCGTTTGATCGGCTGACAGCCTCGAGAGAAAGCATTCCTCTCAGCTCAGGTGCCCAACCGGCACTGCGACCGTCAAGCATGATGTTGGAGACGAAGCCGCCACTCTTTTGCATCTCCATAAGAGCCAGAACGAAAGGATCTCTAGGCAAGAACGATTGAGCTCTGAGGATGTTGGCGTGGTTGGCTTGTTGGTCTTTGATGTGAGTGCTTGAAAGCATCGTCTGCTCGTCAGGCAACAGAACCTTCCTCTTCTTGGCTCGTTGAGGATGACGAATGACTGTATGCTCCTCCTCCTCATCTGGCTCATAGAGATCTGTGTGCTGGATACGGGAGTATTCCTCCTCAACTTCTCTCGCGAACTCCGGGTCGATTTCCGACAGTGGTGATTCGGAGATACGACCACGAGGCATATCCAGAGGACCGCCAGCAAGACCGGGAACAACAGATTGATCGCCGAGAGGGAATTGGAAGTCGTCATCGCCCATTTGAATGTCACCCTCCTCGTCAGCGATACGGACGGTGTCGTCACCAAAGTCAAGGTTCAGACCCAGTGAAGGCTCACGTTCGGTCTGGTCCTTGCCTCGCGGCATGATGTCGAGCTCGCTGAACATGTCGTCCTCGACTGAGCGAGCCAGAGGCGCGTCTCTTCCCATTTCGATGGTCGTATCCATGCGGGTGGGTCGCTCATCAATGTCCATGCCAAAGTCGAGTTCAAGATCGAGATCTTCCATAGGTGCAAGCTCCAGTTCGTCATCGAGGGTGTCCGCCTGGTTGAGGAATTGGCTGTTGTTGAAATCCTCTTGAAGGTTAATGTCGCGGTTGCTGACACGCCCCTTGCGACCGACTGGAGTAGCTGTGACATCGTCCATTTGCGACAAAAGCCAAGCGGCATCAGGAGGCGGCGGGAGATCCAGGTTGTCTAGTGGAGTAATCTTGTCAGGCAGCAGCAGCGCTTCGCGGTTGTTGACGTAGAGATTGGCGGCTGCCATGTCGTGATTGTCACTCGAGCGGAAGGCCTATAAAAGTCAGTAAAACGCGTCAAATATCCAAGCAAGAGGCAAGAAGCGCACCATCTTGATCTTCATTGAAGCCTCATTGCAATCCTCGAGCAGATAACGGGCTTTGCGATTGTAGATTCTGACAACACCCAGCAGCAACTGGCCACTTAAACGAAGAGCCATCGGGGCCTGGCCAGGCGTAATGATAGCCTCTACACTGTCCGGCAGGTTGGACTGCAAAATGTGCGTCTTTGAAAGCTTGCGCTCAATGTTGGCCGACAGCCAAACGCGGGCCAACGGCCCGCTCTTCTGGAGAAGCGTCTCCGAATAGAACATGGCGGCGACAACGATTCGTGACGCGAGGGTGTTGATGCAAGAGGCAAGAAGCAAGAGCTACTCCTCGTTAGGTATATAGGCAGCGACGCGCGCCGGTGTTGGAGGGGTGGTTGCGGAAGCTCTCGTAAACACGAAAACGCGTTGTTATGGGAAATCGGGTCGCGTTGGGGATGTAGCGGTCGGGGCGAAGTCTAACACGCGCGGAGTACGAGGCGCGGTGACATGAAGCAAGTCGTGAGGATCGCGAAAGGCTGAAAAGTAAGTTGCAGCGATAGCAATAGTAGCAAGAGCGCGATGTGCAGCGATGAGGGAGATGGAGGAAATGAGCAGGAGGGGGGGAGTCAAGGTGTGGTGGTCTTCTCTCTCTCGACGCCGTGCCGGTGGACGCAAATTGACGGGGCTGGGATTGGGCAGGGATTGGTCCGCGCAGAATTTGGTGGCACCAGCCACATCACGTGAGGCCGTTGCTCCGCTCTTGGATCATCAACTTGCTGACCCGGCGACCATCCCGGAAGCAGCGGGTCATAGGTATCTTTCCGTCCTGTGGCGGTGTGAAGAGTACATGGCAGGGATGCCAACTTCCCATGCCTTATCTAATCATTTTCAGGTACGAGGAGGACCGGAGCTTTACCAACAAGGAAGCTGTACAAGTAAGTCGAAGCAGGCACCATGCATGGTGAATACCACTTGAGGTGTCAAGGTACCGCGGAACATGCAGCTCGAGTTGGGTTTCTAACAGGATATCCTTTTGCCTCGTTCATCTCACCCACAACGCATCGTTCATATGCGGTAAACACCTGAGCTGCAGCTACTACTGTAAGCTGAGCTGAGGAATCTCGAGGCGAGGAGTTCCTACTGCTACAGGTCCGTTTGGAGATACACATGAGATGAAACCAAAATTGGGTAGTGTGAGCTCTCGAGATATCATTGGAGGCCCAGTGTCTCCAATTTGAATCCCCAACATGATCACCATGCTTTGGGACCTGGAGGCCCTGGCTAAATCTGGCGTGCAGCAAGTCAAATTGTCTTTCAAAGATGAATGTTGGTGTCACCTCGCGCTGCGATTTGAAAACTCTAGAAACTCACTCGGTGCAACTGACCTCGATGGTGAAAGGTCCCGTGCATTTTCTCTCCCATACAAACTTGAGCAAGGCAGGAGTAGTACGATAGGTACACTGGCATTGGCACCAAGTCGTCAAATTAGAACCGTTCGTTCCCTTATATACCTACCTATGGCGTGGATAACTTGACGTTGCAGCCATGAGACATGTAACTGATATCGTGCATGCCCATGTCTGGATTGCTTACGGCACTGGAGCAGCCATCCACGGGGATGTGCGGAGCGGCGACACTGCTCCCGAGTCCTCGTTCCAGGGCCCCCTGTACAACAGCCACGGACCCGCCGTACTAAGCGTCGCGTTGGCACGCCGCACGCCCTGTCCCTGGTACCAGATTTGGCCATGCATCTGCTATTCCAGCCGAAGGCACACGTTTTCTCATCTTTTACCACGACATCCGCTTGCCTTCACTCAGTTACCAGCTTCCACGAAACTATGTCTTCGGACCTAGCTCCCCGCAATTGATACCTTGGCGACGAAGGAACTTTAGTCCTCCCAAATCGAACGTACTCTGACTTCCGACGACATATCCTTTCGCTTGGGCGCATGCCTCCTTTTCGCTTCGTACACTGACAGATGATCGGCGCTGGGCGTTCTGCAACTATTCCAAGGCCGTGACCGAGGGATTTCTGCCTCGCCATACGCAGATATGCAGTGGCCGTGGCATAAAAGGAAGGACTCCGACGATGGCGAAGCTTTATTGCCTCTGGCGGCCAAGATGCCGAGCATCAATGGTTTGACCATGGAACCTATGGAGACGGAATCATCGCGATCTAGGCCAGGCCACATTCGAACCACATCAGCGCAATCAAGAGTAATGGGCTCCCTTAACTTCCATATCCTCGATATCTAGCTAATTTCTGTCTGCATAGAGCACCGCCGACGAGTTCTCCTCGATGAGTTCCGCAGAAGCCGCCAGCCGCCTTCAAACGTCACTTACCTACGGTCTATCGCCAACCGAAGCCTTGACTCGACTCAGCGACTACGGTCCGAACGAGATCCCTCACGAACCCCCAGAACCGCTATGGCTTCGTTTCATCAAACAATTCCAAGAGCCGCTTATTTTATTGTTGCTCGTGTCGGCCGGAGCGTCCTTGTTTTTGGGCAACATGGATGATGCAGTCAGCATCACAGTCGCCGTGACCATCGTGGTCTCGGTCGGTTTTGTGCAAGAATACCGCTCAGAGAAGTCGATAGAGGCTCTTAGTCACTTGGTTCCGGCCCATGCCCATCTGGTCCGCTCAGCTATCAGCAAGACACCCGGCAGCGCCAAAACTCCGACTTGGCCGCCACAGGGACCTATGGACGGCACAGAGTCAGTTGGATCTACCACGCCTGGGGAAGAAATGCTGGAAGCAACCTCATCAAAGGTCATGGCCTCACAGCTTGTGCCGGGAGATTTGGTCTACTTCACCACGGGCGATCGTATTCCGGCGGATATTCGGGTCACCAAGGCAGCAGATCTCACGATTGATGAGTCAAATCTCACAGGAGAAAACGAGCCTGTGCGGATCACCGCAGAGACGAAGGCGCGGAGCCTCTTATCTCCTGCATATGGTGCAGACACGCTTCAGCTTCCGAGCCCATCTGCCTTGTCCGACAATCGTGATGCAGGTGGGAGTGGCGAGAATAACATCGCCTGGATGGGCACGCTGGTGAGGTCTGGTCACGGCCAAGGCATTGTTTTTGCAACGGGCGGACAAACCAACTTCGGAACAATTGCGACTAGCGTGTCTGGAACAGAGAGTCCTCGTTCGCCTCTCCAACTCTCCATGGACGACCTAGGCTCTCAGCTCAGCAAAGCCTCGTTCGTGGTCATTGGACTCATTTCGCTAGTCGGCTGGCTTCAAGGAAAGAAGCTGTTGGAAATCTTTACTATTTCGATTTCTCTTGCTGTTGCAGCTATTCCGGAAGGTCTGCCAATTATCGTAACCGTAACCCTGGCTCTGGGCGTTCATAGAATGGCTCGCCATAACGCCATCGTACGCAGAATGCCCAAGGTAGAGACTTTGGGTTCAGTAAATGTTGTTTGTACCGACAAGACAGGTGTGTGGTAGAAGGACTAGAGGGAGATTGAACCAGCTGGTTGCTGACATGCCGCAGGTACTCTTACCATGAACCACATGACAACCGCCAAAATGTGGTACTTTGGTGCTAACGATGCCATTGATGTCGAGTCCGATGATGAAGCGACGGAAACCAAGCCCGATCCTGCTACTCTACGTATTTTACGGATTGGTAACATTGCGAACAATGGTCGCTTAGCACAGCAGTATACTGAAAACGGTGCAGCTGCAAGAGCTGTGTTATCGTCAACTCAAGGAGCTGACTTCACTTCGACTTACACGCGCTGGTGTGGCCAACCTACGGACGTTGCCATGCTCGACTTGCTTGACAGATTCAAGGAACATGACGTTCGCGAGTCTATCGGCCCGCGTCTGACGGAGACCCCCTTCAGTTCTGAGCGGAAATGGATGGGTGTTACCATTGGAACTAACGATAAGGAGTTCGCCTACATGAAAGGATCCATCGACAGAATTCTCGAAGCTTGTGACACCTATCTCACTCGGGACGGCCGAGAGATTGTCCTTGACTCTACGCGTCGTGAAGAGGCCCTGCAAGCTGCTGAGACTATGGCGTCAAAGGGCCTCCGCGTACTTGCATTCGCCAGTGGCGCAGTTTCTAGATCTAGGGGCAGAACAGCACTTGCGCCGACTAGCCGAACCAACACCCCCCAACCCGTCGACGAAACCTACAGGGGCTTGACGTTTGCTGGTCTGGTCGGCATGAGCGATCCGCCAAGGCCAGGAGTTGGCAAGTCAATTAGGAGGCTTCTGCGTGGAGGTGTCAGAGTCGTCATGATAACAGGAGATGCCGAGACGACCGCCGTGGCGATTGGCAGGCAGCTTGGCATGCCGATTGCGAAGCCAATCGAATACGCCTCTAATCAAGCTGCAGTTCGGCCAGTCCTGAGGGGAGAGGACGTTGATAATATGTCAGAAGAGGAGCTCTCCCACGCCATTCAGCACACCACCATCTTTGCTCGCACGAATCCGGACCATAAGCTCAAGATCATTCGTGCCTTCCAGGCCAGAGGTGATATTGTCGCCATGACTGGAGACGGCGTCAATGACGCACCAGCACTGAAAAGAGCGGACATCGGCATCTCGATGGGCTTACACGGGACTGATGTGGCCAAGGAGGCTGCCGATATGATTCTCACGGATGACGATTTCTCAACGATCCTTAGAGCAATCGAAGAGGGCAAGGGAATCTTCAACAACATCCAGAACTTTTTGACATTCCAGCTGAGCACAAGCGCAGCCGGTTTGTCTCTGGTACTTATCTGCACAATACTCGGATTCAAATCGCCGCTGAATGCTATGCAGATCCTTTGGATCAGTAAGTCTTTTCATTTCTAGAGAAGGTTGTGCCCAGACTAACAATATCCCAGACATCATCATGGATGGCCCACCTGCTCAGTCTCTTAGCGTAGAATCCGTTGATGCCGATGTAATGAATCGGCCTCCTCGGAAGCGGAACGATGCGGTACTCACGAGGGCTCTGCTCTACAGGGTAATGACCTCGGCATTCATCATTATGGCGGGCACGATGCTCGTATATAGACGCGAGATGCTTGCCGATGGCAAGGTTAATCGCCGCGATACAACCATGACCTTTACTTGCTTTGTATTTTTTGACATGTTCAACGCAATGGCCTGCCGATCCGAATCAAAGTCAGTTCTGCGAGGCGAGGTTGGGCTCTTCTCAAACACCTTATTCAACTGGGCAGTCTCTCTCAGCATTGCGGGCCAGTTGCTTGTCATTTACTTCCCTTGGCTCCAGGAGGTTTTCCAGACAGAGGCTTTGGGCTTATTCGAT